GCCTAAGGGCCAGGGTAGCATCAGAAGAAAAGGCAGAGTTAGACATGCAGCAGCCTGGCTAGGAGGGTCCAGCTGAAGCCAACCATATCCTGGAATCTGCTCTAAGGACTTCATCACCAAGGCAACCCCAAAGTCTCTCTTCCTCTACACCCCAGCCACGACTCAAACCACAAGGCTGCCAGGACAGGAAGCTGGGAAATTCCCCTTCTTGTCCACCTGTAGAAAAAAAACAATCTCAGCCTTCAAGGGTGGTCTGGGAGAACCCAAGGGCTGAGTCAGGACCCTGCCCGGCCAGCCACAGCCAGAAACCCAAGAGGCAGGCCGGGAATACAGCAAGCTCCTTATCATATGTGTGTGTGTGTCTTCCTTCTCCAGGACCCCAAGACTCAAGAACTCCCCCATAGTAGACATCAAGATGACAGGCACACCCCCTCGGCAGCTTCCTTCGTCACTGTCCACTATGCCAGCCATCGCTCTTCCTGCATTTCTCCTAGCATGCAGTGCCAAGCCTGAGCCAGGCCGTGAGTCCACTGGAAGGGTCAGCAAATCCCAGTCCATAGGGCTAGCACTGGCCCAAAGTGTTGGGAGAGCCCACACGACAGGGAAGGAGCAACGGCTTGGTTTGCTGGAAAGACATCTGAGGTAAGAGAAGGGAGTAGTGGGCCCCGGGGCAGGGAGGCGAAGCCTCTGTGCGGAGGGGGTTTTCTAAGAACACGGAGAAGCCTGGGTGGCATGGCTGGCGTGGCTGGTGTGGAGGGGAAAGGGAGGGGCAGAGTGACAGACCTTCAGGGCAAAAGGAACCTTCATCCAGTTCCACCCCGAGAGGGAGGCCACTGGGGCTGGGGACACTGACTGGCCTGCCTGCCCCCAAAGACTCACCCATGCCCCCACAGCACAGCCCGCATCTCTTAGGGTGGCCTCCGACTTCCCGGACTAAGAACTGTGGGATGACAGGGACTCTTTCGGAGGCTGTGCCTGGGTCAGCCTGGGAAGGGACCTTGAAGGTGTCTGTGGAGTCTCTCCTCTTGCCCCCATCCCTGCACGTGCACACATGTGCACGCACACACAGGCGCATGTCACCTCCCCAGACTCTCTTCCGGCTCCCTGGCCTTCCTCTCAAGGGCTCTCAGAGTATTCTGTACAGTGTAACCCCTGGGGCCTTTGCGCAGCTTGACCCAAGGCTGCAGCCTGGGCCGCTCAGTGCCGCTGCAGGCTCAGGCCTCCAGGTAGCGTGTTCCCTTCCCCCGGATGCAGGGCAATGATTTGCAGCTCCTGAACACAAGTCAGTAGGAACAGACACCCTGCCCCATACACTTATACCACCCACTCCCAGCATCCCCTGGACCTGGCTTTGATTTCCCTGAGTGATCTGGGTGTCTATTCATAACTGTCCCCTGGCCCTCACCAGCCTGGGCTCCCTTTCAAGGGAGGAGAGAACCAGGTCAGCTACAACTGGGATTTGTGGGCATGTGCCAGAATAGGTTTGTTGATTGCATACATAAGTGCAGCTCCGCCTAACTCACTGGAGGTGGGAGAGGGGAGAAGATACAGGCTGGGGGTGTGAGCAGGGGTGCACACCGTGCCAGTGGCCCCTCAGTTCGAATAAATCAGTCTTCTTGGAGCTCCATCCACAAGCTGAGAGGGATCCATTAAGGTCATAACAGCTTTTAAAAGGCAAGGGTAGCACAGACGTGCAAGACAGCTGACTGCCGTACTCTGCCTCTTGGTGTCTGGCTAGGAAGTTCCTCCAGGCCTCTGACCTAAATCCCTCTCAGTATGGAAGCTGGTTTTGACACTACCGCCTTCAGGGGACCCAGGGACTTGGGGGAGGGGTGCCAGAGGGAGGAGGGCCAGGGCCAGCTTGAGAACAGTCTCTGTCTCACTGAGTCCTTAATTGGCAGTATTAAAGTAATGAGTCACAAACAACAGCCAATTAATTATCCTCAGTTATAAAAAGCTCCGCTTCCCTTCCTTGCTGTTGTCGGGTGAGGCACCCTCAGCCGAGCTGCTCCACACCCTCGGCCAGCAGCAGGAGAGGCGAGTCCATCTCCAGGCTCCCAGCTTCCTGCTTCCATACGGCGTGTCCTGGGAACAAAGGCTTGGGAGTGGGCGGAAGAGTGGCCTTCATAGAGGGGTTCCGTTTCAAGTTCTGAGATCCCGCTCACCTCCATCACCTGCTTGGGAGGCAGTCCGGCCTGACCAGGCTGCCCCTGGGGATCCCAGCCTGGCATCAGAGAACAGCCTTGCCTCACCCCAGACCCTCTTCCTCAGTCCAGCAACTTCCTGAGCCTGCTCCTGGCCCCATTCTCCTTGGGCTCTCTTTATCCATACATCAACGCAAGCAAAGCTTCCTGCAGCCTCCAGCCTCCAGCAACTGCGGCTTGCAGACCTGTCGTGACCTCCTGCACAGCTGCCCTGTGCCTGGATTTCTCCCTCTGTAAAGTGGGTGCACAATTAGATGCGGCCAGCAGGGATGTTCATTCACTCGTTTACGGGCAGTAAATCATTCCTGCATGCAGCAGGCGCTCAATAATGTTAACTCTTACCAAGACTATCTGCCTTATTTCCTAGCTCTCATTTCACAGCTGAGATATAGGTGATGGGGGACCCCCTTGCAGAGGCCTCTCCTCCCTGCTCCCCAGAGCCAGCAGTGGCCTCGACTTGCCCAGCAGACTGACTGCACATAGGCCTTGTCCTACACCAGCTACTTTTGTTTTGTTGAGACAGGGCCTCAGGTAACTCAGGCTGGCTTGGAACTCTCTATAAGGGGCTGAGAAGAACCTTGAACTTCTGATCCTCCGGCTTCCACTCCTCAGTGCTGGGCTCACACACCTGAGCCACATGCCTCCATGCCCGGTTTATCCAACACTGGGAAGCACACCCAGGGCTTCCTGCAGGCCAGGCAAGCATCCTACCAACGGAACTCCATGCCTAGCCTGCACCCGCTGTCTTTGCGATCACAGACCTCCGTTCCCTTTACTGTGCCTGGTAAGAGAGCCCAGCATGGCCCCATCACCATCCTGGCCATCTGCGGCAGGAGGAGACTCGGAAAGAAGAGAGGGGAGGAGAGAAAGAATGTTCACACGAGCAGGAGAGGAAGCGAGCTGTGAGCCTCGGAGGCTCATCATCAGCTGACTTTGGGGTCCCCTGAGGTGAGCTCAGCCATCTGCAGAAGCAGAATGGATTGAGGTCTCTGCCACTCCTTCAGCCTCAGTTCCAGAGCCAGCATCCCAGACCCTGGTGTCCTCACAGCTTGGGCTGTAGCTGTGTACAGGCTCCTAGTCACTGCCTCGGTGGCATACTTTCTCCACCCTTCTTTTGGTCACAATCAAGCCCCCTCACTTCCTGACTCATGGCCTAAGAAGGCTGCCTGGCCAGTGGCCTTTCCCTGAGGAGCTTGGTCACCCCTCCATTGCCTCGGCTGCCTTCCACCCCCAGATCTGCTTATTACCACTTGTATGATGTTGCTCCAGTCCCTGGCTTCTGCTTCTCCGTGACCCATGGGTCACTAGGAGCAACAGGCGCAGAGCCTGTCAGTACAGCACTGACTCACAGAGCACAAAGGGTATACCAGTCACAGGGCAGTCAGGTCAAAGAGGCCTGCCACCTGCCCTAGGCCTGAATGGGGCGGACTGCTATGGAACAAAGTGGATGGCCCATAATGTTGATGTCATTAATCTGGTCCCTTCCCATCTCAGTGATGCCGTAGCTGAGGCCTGGCATCTGGAATGACTTGTCCTATCATCGCCTCACAGGTGACACCATGCTGGTCACTTCACATCCCTGTCTCACATGTCGGCCCGTGAGAGGGTAAGTTACCACCTCCCCCTCCCAAGTATATGTGGACATTGGCGACTAGTGGAAGAGGTGCCACTGACCCTTTATCGACTCTGGTCTGTGTCTCTCTCGGGCAGAAAACTCCGGTTTACCCAAGAGAGAATGCCCACACCACATAGTGCCCAGGATGCCAGCTCAGGCTGAGGCCACAGTGGAAGGTGGGTTCCACCCGGGCACTGCCAGGGTTACTGTGTGACCTTGGCCATGCCCCTTCCTCTTCCTCTCCCTTGCTCGGTTCAGCCATGATTCCTCCTCCCTGCTGGACTCCCAGTGTGGAGTGTCTGGGTCTCTTCTGGTGGTCCGTGCTTCTCATGGGGGTCCTAGGCTCCTGACACAGCCTGGCACTCCGCCCCTCTCCAGCACAAACAGATGAGGGCAGGCAGGTCGGCAAGCACCCTGACCTCCCCATCCCTCCAGGCTGGCTGAGCCTCCGACCTCAGCTGCTGCACCCTTGACCCTGCAGCCTGTTTAGGGCTGGTGCACTCAGAAGCTACCTTCTTTGTTCAGACAAGCAAGAGGGAGGAGAAAAGCTGTTCTCCAGGCCGCAGCAAAGCTTTTAGATAAACACCACACAGGAATCGGGTTCCTTCAGAGAAGAAACCAGATCCACAGGCTGACAGCGCCCCAGGGACAGGAGTGCTGCTTGGTCTGGCCGGGAAGCCAGCACTGAGGCCTCTTTATCCAGCTTAGCACCTGCTGCCAGGCCTGGTAAGCCAGCAGCTCAGGTGACTGGGCTCTGGTGCCAGGCCATGGCCCCATCAGCTCCCAGGCTCCAGGATGGCCAGACCTACCTCCTCACCCTCCTGACACCCCTACCTGGCCTTTCAGGTCAGTGGGAACTGGGAACTCATTCCTCTGGGGGTGATCCTAGTCACCCCGACTCCTTCCTGTCCAGGCCCCTGGAGCAGGCTGCCCCACTACCAGAAGACGGTTAATAGCTAACTATCTACACCCATGCAGACAAGTTCCTTCCCGACCATCCCACATGACCAGGGGCCTCAGGAATCACTACAGGACAGTTTTGCTGAGGAAGACACTGAACTCTGGAAGGGCTATGGGCCCGCCCAGAACCACACAGAGACAACGGAACCCTGATTTCCCTCAGCTCCAGGGCCCATCACCGGGCGTTGGGCTGCCTCTGACTCCATCTCAGGGAAGCTCACCGGTGTGGTGTCATCGTGCGAGCGTTGGTAGCGCTTCCAGCGGCAGCCGTAGATGCCCGTGAGGCAGGAGAGGCACAGTTGGGGCTCGTAGTACTGCAGGGGCTGGTGTCTCACCATGCTCGCGCCCGCGGCCCTGGCGCCCGGCCCTCAAGCGCCCATGGAGGCCCCTGGCTGGCACTGCAGGAGAAAGCACAGAGTGTGAGTCAGGGGGAGGCGTTGGTTCTGCAGAAGTCACCGTCACCTGGGTCAGGGAGGTTATCCTCTTCTGGGGGCCCTCCTGGGTGCTGGAGGGAGAGCCATCCTTGAAGGCCCCTGGGACCTGCCTCTGCCACTCATCCTCCCCGCTTCTCCCCTCCAGTCACACTGATGTCCTCAGTGTCTTACCTAGTGTGATGTTTTCACTTCCCTTGGAAACCTGCATAGCTCTCTCTCTCTCTCTCTCTCTCTCTCTCTCTCTCTCTCTCTCTCTCTCTCTCTCTCAGGTTTCTATCTCATTCTTCTCCTTCTGTTTATCTCTCTCTCCCCGCCACTCCATTTCCCGATCCTTCCCCCCTCCCCGTCTCTCTCAGCTCATCATATAACTAAGGCTGGCCCTGAACTTTGATCCTCCTGCCTGAGCCTCCCAGGGGCTGGGGTTGCAGGCATGCACCATCCTGCCTGGTTAGTAAGACTTTTGCAGCCCTGGAGCCCCTCCCCCACCCCCTAAGCTCCCTCTCATAGTCTCAGATTTATTTTCTCAGCCGTGTTCTTAAATATAATTTATCTGCTTATTCTGTTTGTCTGCCAAGCCCACGGTAAGTTCCACGAAGGCGAGGAGTTTTGTCTTTTTAATTCTCTGCTGTCTCCCCCGTAACTGGAACAGAGCCTGGCAATAACAGACTTTTCAAAATAAACATTCTACAAAATACATGATCATAAACACTGACGGGCGCAGGGTGCTGGAAAATGCAGCAGGCCCTGGAAAGTGTCACACAGCCATGCCTCCCGTTCATCATCACCGTCACCTGAAGTGGCAGGCACCCTGTCCTAAAGCCGTCTGACTGTTGGACAAACCAAGGCTCAGAGAGAGAACGGGCAGTGCCCGCCTGCAGCCACACTGTGTAAAGGCATCAGAGGTCCACTCCAGCCTCCCCACGTGGTCCAGGTCCAAGGGGCATTCAGCATGGCGGGGACCATAGAGGCTGGAGGGACAATAGGGGGTGCCCCGAGGGATGAACTGCTTCTACCCAGTGCTGCTTGTCAGTCTGGACCCTGCCCCACTCCCCCAGGACCCAGCCTCCCGGGGCTGGTGCTGGTCAAGTGTGACCGGGGGAACCGGGCATCATTCTAGCTCCAGCCCTACTCTGTGGATGTCACCAGTACAGCAATCCCGACGTACAGATGAGAAGCGCGCCTTGCTCTGTTGCCTCTCAGACCCAAAGCCATAACTCCCCGACCAGATCCTCAGATGATGGGGTCCCCAACCCTGTGTTTCCCTCCAGTAATGCTACCAGCATCTGTGGGAAGGAAGCGGTGTCTTGCTTTTCTATTGAAACATACTTCATGTCTGTAAAATTCACCCTTGCACAAAGGCTCTGTGGTGGTCGGCATGTGCATTTTCTAGTGTATTTGCTCAAGTTGTACTTGGTTCCTAACCACCACTACCTGACCCCGGAGCATTTCTGCTGTCCCAACCACTACCCAAAGCCCATGTCAGTGACACCCTCGCTCACCCTAGCGTACTCCTCAGGCTTGACAGCTACCAAGCCACTTTCTGTGGCTGTAGACTAACCAGTTCTAGAGCTTTCCCCGTCTTGGAATCCATGGTCTTTTATATGATTGATACTGCTTTTCTTTAACAAAATGTCTTCAAGGTTTATCCGTGTCACAGCATGCATCAGTACTTCATTTCCTTCTTTCCTGAGACAAGGCCGCATGTAGCCCAGGTCGCCCTTGAACTCAGTAAGTATCTTAGGATAGCCTTGGACTCTTGACCAGCCTCTCAAGGGCTGGAATTACAGGCATGCACCACCACTCCTAGCTACTAGTTTTAATAGGTGAATAATATTCGAGGCTATGGATATTTTGCATCTTGCTCACCACTCATCTGGCGAGGGATACTCTAGCTTGTCACCGGTTTTTGCATAGACCTCTATTTTCATTTCTTTTTGGTACAAACGGTGGGGATAGATTTGCTGGGTCAAATGGTAACTCTTCCATCTGACGTTTGGTACTTATTTGAAATTAAGTACTTTCACAATCTCAAAGCCCTGGCTTAGCCATTTTATATATCAGAAATCTGAGGCTCAGGAAGACTCAGGCCCTCACAAAGGTGATCCAGCAAAGCTAACACTCATACCCAGGCGGTCTGGCTCCAAGGAACCTTATTCTAGCCCACGGCTTGGCAAACTGTAATCACTGCCTTGCCAAATCTGACATGTTACCTACTTTTTTTTTCTTTGTACAGCTTGAAACCTAAGAATGTTTTCTACATTTTTAAATCACTGGGGGAAATGGACTTAAAACAAGAATATCTTGTGACACATAAAAATTATATGAAAGTCAAATTCCAGCATCTATAAATAAAACTTTATTGAACATAGCTTTGCTTGGCCACTCTGCACACACAGTCCCCCCCCCCCACACACAGTCCTCCCACACATACACAGTCCACACACACACACAGTCCCCCCCACACACACA